ATGGGTGACGCTCAGATTTGCGAAAGCAAACAACTTGAGCGCGCGCGTCAGCAAGCGGGAGAGGGCCGGGGTGCGCAGGCCTTGCGTCGTATCCTTTCCGGGAAATCACGGCTCATGAAGCATCTGCTTGTGAGTAAGTAGTTCATAAAATACCATGAGGAAAACGCGGATTCCCCTTAAGGGGTCAAAGATTCCGTTGCTGACGGACACCACAGCTCCTTTTGCTGCGCACTACTGCGCAAAGACCTGCCCTCTGTGATGTCGCTAATGTCCACACTTATCACAATGCTTTCTCATGTGACATCTGATTAATGCACCGTCTTCAGATGAACTACAGAGGTTTTCGGAAAGAAACGATATAGGATACATTCGATACATTCTAGTACTTACGAACAAAACCTAGTTGCAAGATATGAAATAATGCAATTATGTAATGGTATTAAACTTTTTTTACCGAATTTCGCGTATTAGACCGTTTGAAATAGCCATTTGCCACTTGTTATTCAAGCTTTTCAAGCATGAACTGGTTATCATTAACCCTAGGATTCTTGAAGGGATGGGGTTCAGATGCCTATCAATGATTAATTATACGTTTTTTACAGTTTTCAGTTCTTTTAAACACCTGAAAATCATTGATATTTTTACAGTTGTGCTTTTTATGATGCAATTTATCACAAGTAATTGTAATTCAAGTTATAATAACGCTCCGGAGTCCCCTTCGGTAATATACAGGTCCTATTATACCTTGTTATTGCTAGGGTTAACACTTCCTAAGAGGTATTTTTGTGCATACCCTACCTATTAACACATTCACAGCCTCTTCGACTGGGCAGTAAGAATGAAAAGTTCAAATAATACGAATCGTCACAACCCATTCAGCAAAAATCAAAAGTGTCAAGTGGTATTCTTTGGGCAGGTATTTTCCGATTAGTCAATTTGGAACAACGGGACAAAAAAAACTCTTGACTAATAACGCTATATCCTAAGTTTGACTCAGTTTTTACCTACGCTTACTCATATTCCTGTGGTGGTCTTTAGAGATTACGGGGGTTGGGAAACCATTCAATTGCCGCCCGATTCCAAATCTGGGAAAAGGGGTGGGAAGGGGCAGTAAGGATTTCGCGCGTTCCTTGGCCTGCGCTTTAGGATACTAGTCCAGCACACATTAAGGAAAGAAAACTACATTAAGGACTCAAATCTTTTCGCTGGTCACTTGCAAGGAAAAGGGAGACCATGAGGCATATGCCTTCTCTATCTTATTCCGATTGATGTGTTCGGCACCCATTATCTTAAAGCTGCATCTCCCCTACGAGGAGAAAGTGGCTTGCATGTGACCTCGTCCACGTAACTGTATTGCGCCTAGGAACGGCACAACTGCCACTCTCCTGCCGCCGCCTCCACCACCGACCCCCTACGGGCTACTACCACCAACGTTTTCTCTCCGGCAGCCACCGCTAACGCCGTAGCCTCGCTTCTGCGCCGCACCCCCCGTCCCTATCGCATTCAACTTAATGTGAGTTCAAGGCAATCAGGGGGAGTATCTATTTGGTATGCACCCTGAAGCTTTACAGCCATCGCTGCTGCCATCTATCGCCCAGTTCTTCGCGCCTGTCCTCCCACCACAGTCCATCCTGCCGCCTCTACCGTGGCCTCCACCGCCACCGCACCCCGCGCCCCGCCACGGGTTCCCTGGCGGCCGGCCGGTTCGCGCCCGCGCCGATACCGGAGGGCAAGGTGCGAGCAGCGGCGGCGGCGGCGGAGGCGCCGTGACGTCAGACGCAAGCTTCCTCGGACGCGCCGCTCCTTCCCTGCCCGTCGCGCTCTTCGCCACCATGTGCGAAGTGCCGCCTCCGGCTCGTCCAGTCCGCCCGTGCTCGCCGACCGGAGAGGACCCCCTACCTGGATTGGGGCCTGAGCGCGTGACCATGAGGGCGTCTCCACTGATCGTCGCCTCCTGCGCCCTCGCGCTCTGCGCTACGGGGGCGCTCGGGCAGGGGGAGCTGTACACAGGTGAGCGCCCTGCATGCGGCAGCTGTTTCATCGCTTTTCTTTTTTCCCCTCTAAGTTTAGGAGGAAGTTTTTGCAAATTGGAACAAGCAGTTGACCCACATGACAGTTGCCGTTTCTAACGGGACTTCTCAAATGAATAGGAGTTTAAAGGGGAACAACTAGTGATTTCTAAACTGTTTTCTCTGCACCACAAATTTCTGATGGACTAGAAAAATTGATATTCGTGACTTGTGTAGTCGTTTGTGATGTACTGAAGATTCGCATTCATGCTGTCGTTGGGAATGAATCCATTTACTTGCAACTTTCTTCAGAATACATAAAAAAAAAACTTCTTAGGCAATTATTCACAGTCTCGATTCGCAATTCGCAATTATTCAAAATATTTTGCCTAAATGAAGACAGATATCAACGAAGAGGCATGTTGCACGAAGAAGTCTCAGTTTATCGATATTACAGATATACATTTATAAACAATTACACATTTTTTAGGACGCTTTTATATCATGTACTGTAATAATACTTTTATAAGTATTAAATTTTTTCGTTTTGTGCACTTCGTATTCTGTTCGTTAAAGATAATTCTGATGCCCTACAATATCTGTTTATTCGTCCCTTAGTATAAGAATGCCTTAAGTATAGAACCTTGAAATACTCGAAACTAGGCGAGAAATATAATTTAGTCTTATAGGTTTTCAAGTTAATTATAAATACATTTCTTTACATTACTTTTTATTGCGCACGAATGTTTTCACAAGCTCTGAGGAGGCACAGGAACCGGTTTCTACTTGGAATAAGAGCGATATTTTATTTTTTGGAATTCCACACATATCGCCTAACAGCATTTACGTATGCATAATCTGCGGTTCACTGCGCATCTAGCTGGGCATCGACCCATCTCGTCGAAGCAACGCGTGCGATCTCTTGAGCAACACTGCATCTCGGAGAACTCGTTAGTACATCCTCTGCTGCAGCATTTGAATAGCGCGATAACCAGAGAGATTTGCACTGCCGTTGCAGATTAGTAACGCACAATACTATGCACTTTAAAATGTTTCTTTAGTAAAAAAAACAAAAACATTTTTAATATAAATTTGGGAAGAGTTCCGCTGTTTTTAAAACATCCATTCACCGTCAATTATTAAAAAGTAACTACTATAGTAGTGTTACATAAATAGTAGAGTTATATACATTTTAGTGTTAATAATAATAATAACAATAATAATAATAATAACAATAATAATAATAATAATAATAATAATAATTAGAAACAATCCAATACAAATGTAGATTTTTTTCAATGTTCTGATTCTATTATTTGTTTATATTTTTTCAATCACTTCCCTATTGTAGTTTTTCCAAGGTATAGATGCTGAAGGATGGATTAACTAAAACAGTTCAAAAGTCGAATGTAGAAAAAACCTTAAAATTACACCCTAGAGAGAAGTAATGAGAACTTAATAATTTCTTCACCTGAATGAAGTGACGTTCATAGACCATCGTAAGAAGTATTCAAGAGGCTGTGATCGCTATCAGTGCTATCGCGCTAACGCGTCAGCGCTGAGAACGTTCACGACGTGATTGGAAAAGCTTTAAGCGGAAATACTTCTTCTGTTACAATAGTGTCTTCCTTTTGAATCCTCAAAATATTTAATTAATAACTCGAAATTGCGGATGTTCACAGACAATAGGGATTTATGTTTCACAATATTATGAAATAGGAATACTCTAAATTAATAATGACTAATAATTTCATTACCTAGAATAGCGTATTTCTAAAATAGAAATGTCGCGGCGAGGCACACTCGAGAAAGGGTGCGCCTGACCAGCTGCGCGCCAAAGTGCCGGTTGCGTTCCACAGCCTGCTCCTCTCCCTCGACAATGCTCCACTCAATTTGTGCAGCTCAGTAGCCATCAGTTGCCCGCAGAGATAAGCAATAGCCGTCATGGTCTGGGAATGCACGCGTTGAATATCAATTCTACAATACTTCAGCTATTTGTTTTTGAAAATTCCAGCCGGAAAAATAAATTGTCACAAAAAGCAGACATGTTGTCTTTTTATATTTTTCGCAGATGCTCTGAGCACTTGGACAAAGTTTAAAAATAGAGGGAATCCATTCTACATACCATCGAAACCTCTCCACCACTGCTTACACATAGATTAAAAATAATTATAACAAATTAATAAATAGCATATGAAGAGGTTCGAACCTTTAGTAGCAGAATCTGTACACCTATTGAAGTCATCCGGTCCCAAGAATTGTCGGCGAGAGGTGAGAACACAGCAATTCCTTCCAACAAAAGGCAGGGGCCAAGGTGCATTACATTTGCGACGCTCCGTTATCTTTTAGTAACGGTCCTTTGTTCTCGTATCGAGATCCTGATCGGATGCCACCACTTTCGATACACTGCACCCACCACAGTTGCATCCTGCCCCCCCCCCCCCAGGGCTGGAGGCCTAAACATCCTGAGCAACACGGCCCTCAATTGTACATCCCTCAATCCTCCTCAATATTGTTATTTTGTGTTAAGTCTTGAAGTACTGACTGCCCGGGACAGTCAAAATATTAGACCATGTTTGTAATGCCTCATTGTCATCAAGTCATATACTTCCTCATTCGCGTACAATTACACGATTCAGGAAGGGTCCCTCAATCTCACGGAGATTCTGGTCAAAGGATATCCTTGATTAATGATGGTCCTCGGATTTTGTCAGCCATTGCTATCATCCCGAATCCTTCTAGTTCTTTCCCAGCTGCCAAAGCCCATTCCATTGTTCAGTGCAAACTAACGCTGGAATTCCGTTGAAATTATTATTATTATTATTATTATTATTATTATTATTATTATTATTATTATTATTATTAT